CCCATCTCTACCAAAAATACAAAAATTAGCCAGGCGTGGTGGCACACGCCTGTAATCTCAGCTACTCAGGGGACTGAGGCTGGAGAATTCGTTGAACTTGGGAGGCAGAGTTTGCAGTGAGCCGAGATTGCACCACTGCACTCCAGCCTGGGCCACAGAGTGAGACTCTGTCTCAAGAAAAAAAAAAAAAAAGTGACTACAGTATCTTCGGAGTAAATAATCTGAAATCATCTGTTGGAGAAAGACACTTAAAGTTATGAAAAAAGGATAGTTTTTGGATTTTAGAGTGTAATTCTGAAGACAAGATTTTTTATCTAGGTGGGTTACAAATTCATTGTAAAAGAAAAAAATAAAAGTATTTGTGATATTAACTTCAAAATAAAATCCTAGGTGCTCTACCAAGTTAAATCATTATGTAATAATCATGACACTGATATGATTTACCAGGAAGATTTTCACTTTGGAACAAAATTTTAAGTGATTTATTCGGCACTAAAATTTACATCGACTTATTCTGTTGCTATCAAAATTATACAATGACAAAATGTTTCCTGGTAGAACAGGACACAAAGGATAACTCACAGAGCTAGGAAGATACAGTAGGATAGAACAGGCATAGCAAGAAAGATGGGGGAAAGCATACTGATGACATCTATGGCAGTGAAGGAAAGAATCTAGATGCTTCCTGGAAAGAATAAAACATTTGAACTTGAACAACTTTATTTAATTTTATATTTTTTAAACTGTACCTTTTTTTTTTTTTTTTTTTTGAGACAGGGTCTCGCTCTCTCACTCAGGCTGGAGTGCATGGGCACTATCATGGCTCACTGTAGCCTTAAACTTCTGAGCTAAAGCAATCCTCAGCCTCCCAAGCAGCTGGAACTACAGGTGTGCACCACCATGCCCAGCTAATTTTTTAATTTTTGTAGTGATGGGGTCTCAATATGTTGCCCAGGTTGGTCTCAAACGCCCAGTTTCAAGAGACGTTCCTGCCTCAGCCTCCCAAAATGCTGGGATTACAGGCATGAGCCACCATGCCCAGCCTTACTTTTTCTTAAGTATATATAAACTCAAGCTTTTGGAAGACATACAACTTGTATGAAAGTTTTGTCTGAATTTCTTTTTGAGACAGAGTCTCACTCCGTCGCCCAGGCTGGAGTGCAGTGGCATGGTCTTGGCTCACTGCAACCTCCACCTCTCGGGTTCAAGCAATTCTCCCACCTCAGCTTCCCGAGTAGCTGGGATTATAGGCGCGTGACACCACGCCCGGCTAATTTTTTATATTTTTAGTAGAGATGGGGTTTCATCGTGTTAGCCAGGATGGTCTTGATCTTCTGATCTTGTCTGCCTTGGCCTCCCAAAGTGCTGGGATTACAGGCGTGAGCCACCATGCCCAGCCATCTAAATGTTAAAGTTAGATTTGTTTGTGCTAACATCCTTTATGAAAAAGAGAATAAATATTCCATGTTGGGATGCTTAGAGGTCAATAAAGAATAGTGGGATGAATATGGGCTCTTAACAAAAGGAACAGATCACTAAAATGCCCCCCAGTCTCTATTCTTCTCAGTCTTTTCTTGCCTAATCAAACTTTTATAATTATAAGTGTTCAAGTAAAAGCTAACAAATGAAAAGAGTGCTGAAACTTTATTAAAAAGTCACCCACATAAACTTTAACAACTGCTTTCATTGTACTCAGTGACAGAGCAAGCAAGAAATGAATTTAATTTTCAAATCAAGCTATATATGTATGACATTCAGCTTTCCCAAGAGTCTAACACATTTGAGTAATTGTAATATTTTATAATAAAGACACTATAATTAATTGAATAATGTCATCTTATCTAAGGCACTGATACAGGGGAAAATGAAAAATATATTACCTGCAGTAATCTCCTTGCTTAGCGACCTTGGCCAGGGAGAAAATGCAGTCAACAGTTGCTAGGTGATGCACTGCTTTACACAAGTAGTGATAATGTTCACTGAATTTCCTACAGAAGCAGCAGCAACAACGAAAAGGTGAGCAAACTGATTTCTTAGACCTATAATAGCTCTACAACAAGCAATCACTTTATCAGCTAGTGTAAGCGTACAGATGATTAGCAGGCATTCCTAACAGTTAAGAGAGATGGAGATTACACCAAACAGCCCTACTTTTTAATACAATAATTAAATTATTGAGGCTTCTTTTTGTTTTGTATATAAATGTAAAACAGCTTCTACGTAAAGATATCAACTGTTAAGAACATATCACAGATTTCATCTGACCCTGACATTTGAACTTAAGGTATAACACAAATATAGCAGTCATTTTCATTTCGCTTCAATAACATCATGAAATATTCATGTACATCAGCTTCCCCTGTGCTTCTTCACAGCATCCTCCAAACCTGGAATAACAGTTTCAATACCTTTCTCTCACACTAAACTGGAAGCTTCTTGAGAGCAGATTGTCCATCTGATTAACCCCATTGTAGACATAACATCTAGTTTATAATGTTGGCATAAAATAAACACTGTAATAAATATTTATTGAAGACAAGGGGAAAAGGTACTTTTCTCACTTATCTTCAGTTATCTTATTAATGCATATAAAAACTAAATTTTAGATTTGTTTTTTAAAAGATTATGGTCATTGCCTCAAGTCTTTGGCTACTTAAAACTATAATACCTATTGATGTAAAAGTCTAAATGGCTTTTATTGAAAAACTTATTTGGAAAACACACATGAGTACTTTTTTCTTTTTTCTTAAATTATCCCATTATCTCATATCATAGTATTTCATGTCAATGTGTGTAGTGTCGTATAAATTGTGGACATCTGTATGTAGTGATCAATTGTGGATGTGTGAAGTATACATAATTAACCTACAAAAATGACCCAAAAGTTAATTTTTAAGAAAGACCAGTATGAAGTATCTTTTTAAGTAACAGGAAACATACAGCTGAGCTTAAATCGTTATAGTAACTACTCTGCCTCCAAGAGAGATTAAGAGATTGTTTGATTAAAAAAAAACTTTAAGTAGGTGGTGATAAGTCACAAATTCTTCAAAGATTGGAAAATGAGAAAATGTAATTAACTAACTGTAAATAGGTCCAAAAGGAAAGCTGAAAGGAAAACAAACATTTACTAATCAAAGACTATGAAGAAGCCACTACATTTTTTTCTTTACAACAACCATAAAGATAGGTCATTACCTAAGTTTTGCAAATGAAGTTCAGAGAGAAAAAGCAGTTAGCCTAAAGCAATTGAGCCTAGACTCAAACTGAGCTCCTCCTATCACCCTACCTCACAGTGCAGTTTTACAGACTCCTACTAGCATCTTTTCTTATTTTTGTGCATACATAGAAATAAAATAGAAATAAGGTGCCTACTTTCTACATTTAAAAAATAGTGTAGCTCAGATATTCTGTACGACCTTTTAAAGATGATCCAAAAATGAGAAAAAAGACGACAAACGAACAATAAATGCCTCTCTTAAAAAACATTTGTCTATTGTAGTGTGAGTTTCAGAAATGTTGAGACAGTCTATTTAGTACTGAAATCCAAAGGTTTCTAGAGTGCTTCCTAGCTTGAAAAAGATATCCAGATTACACTACTAGAGTGATGGACTATTCCTATATAATCATTATGACTTTTTAAAACTGTAACTTCTGATTTTTCTAGTATTAGAATAAGGTATTGTACATAAATGACTTTTTCCAGATACTAGGAACAACATTTTAATTATCCAGCTTTATTTCTGTGTTTTTTTGTGAACTGAAAAATATATTCACAGTGTACTATATACTTATTTGCTGAGTAGATAGAACATAATGAATACAACTTATCTATTTCTCACTGAATTAAAGTTCATCAAAACAAATAATATGATTCCCACCGTGTTAGAATCTGTGCAAAACCCCAAACACAAAAGGGACAGGCCCCTGGCATCAGACAGGCAGCCCTCAGTCACCACTTTAAAATGTGGAGGGAAGTGGGGATGGCTAAGGGATCGAAAAAAAATAGAAAGAATGAATAAGACCTAGTATTTGATAGCACAGTAGGATGACTATAGTCAATAACTTAATTGTATATTTTGGAATGGCTTAAGGAGTGTAATTGGATTGTTTGTAACTCTAAGGATAACTGCTTGAGGGGATGGATACCCCATTCTCCGTGATATGCTTATTCCACATTGCATGCCTGTATCAAAATATCTCATGTACCCCATAAATATATACACCTACTATATACCCACAAACATTTAAAAATAATTTTAAAAATAATAAAATAAAATAAAATGCTCCCTAGTTTTGAAGATGCCACATGTTGCACTGGCCTAACTGTCCTGGGTGTTTAGAGTTAAGAGTCACCCTAAACCCGGAGTGGCTGCTCACTGACTTTGCCTTGTTATTCCTGCTCTGGCTTCGACTTTATGTTTTCTTTCCTTTTTTCCTTTTTTTTTTTTTTGAGACGTAGCAGTCTCGCTCTTTCACCCAGGCTGGGGTGTAGTGGCACGATCTCAGCTCACTGTAACCTCCACCTCCCAGATTCCAGCGATTCTCCTGCCTCAGCCTCCAGAGTAGCTGGGATTATAGGCGTGCACCACCACGCCCAGCGAATTTTTGTACTTTTAGTAGAGACAGGGTTTCCCCATGTTGGCCAGGCTAGTCTCGAACTCCTGGCCTCAAGCAGTCCACCTGTCTCAGCCTCCCAAAGTGCTGGGATTACAGGCATGAGCCACTGCACCTGGCCATGGCTCTGACTTTAGATCTGACCACTCACTGCCCTCTTGCACTGTGGCATATGCTGTCCTTGTTCTAATTACTGACCCATCCGGTCCTCCTATCTAGGCACCCTCTCTTTTGCCAGAAAGCAGCCACATTTGCTGTTTCTGCCCTTGCCTCTTGGGACATGAGCATCAAAGCTTTAGCAGTAACAAATGATCAGTTTTTTTCCTCACTCTTTCCCTCCTTCTCAGATCCTGCCCAGGTCCTCAAGACCCTAATTTGCTACTACTCAGCAGCTTGACTTGAGGGTAGCTGTCTCTGATGATCTAATGTTTAAAATGGAAATGAGTTAACACTGCTCTTAGTGGGTCCCATTTCAGTTACAACAACAAAAAAGCAGGGAGAGATAAAGTAATTATTTTCATATGAACAACAATGTTCCTTCTGATGTCAATGGTATAAATAAGACATGAATACAATGAAAAACTATCAAAAACCTATAACATCATCATAACTCTTAAAGAAGCCTTGACTTCTTGGTCTTTGTCCATTTGATATACTTTGCCAAACTTCAGGGAGATTATCCATACTTAGAAAAATGGTAAGCTGAAAAATGGTCAATGCAGATAACAATCTGATTGACTGGGTTTACAGCAAAACAACAAGCAATTTTATCACTATGCTACCAACCAACTTAAGGATGAAGTCAAGACACTATGATTTAACCTCTGGCCAAAAGATATTGCTGAGTTCATAAGAAGCAGATGAAGACACTTGGGTTCTAAAGCTGTTATGGTGTTATGATGACTACAGAAGTTTACCATCAAGTGTTGCTCAATGATATCTGAAGTTAATAAAAATTGAAAATATTTTATTTGCAAATGAATTTCTACAATTTTTTATTATATATTACAATTCAACTTTTAAATAATTTGCAATTGAGAAGATTACTGAATATACACAGTGCATCTTCTAGAACAAAAAATAAAAGAGAGACATGTTTCAAGGGAGGATTTACTCCACAGCAGTGTCTACAGCCTTAATTTCTGGCAACATTTTGATCAAAAGTAATATGACTAATACACAACAGTTAGTACCTCAGTAAGTGACAAATACATTTGTAATGCTGGTATTCAGTCCTCTGATGTCAGGTTCATTAAGGTTAATCACTTTTTTAATGATATCACAGTCACACCATCTGGCACCTCAATAAACACTGTACATAACAATCAATGCTGCTCTCAAGTGGGGGCTCTAGCTGCAAAATGCTCTAGCTAAATTTCAGCCAATATTCTTTTTTTGGATAAAAACTTTAATGCATTTTTCTTATTCTGAAAGTAATATATGTACATTACAGGTACTTCTGAAATCGTGCTCAGTCATCCCTCGGTATCCATAGGAGATTGGTTCTAGGACGCCCTGCAGATGCTAAAATCCAATATGCTCAAATCCCTTACATAAAATGGCAAAGTAGTTGTATATAACCTATGTACATCCTCCCATAGGCTTTAAATCATCTCTAGATTACTCATAATACATAATACAATGTAAATGCTATAAATAAATAGCAGTTATATTGTACTGTTTCAGAAATAATGACAAGCGGAAAAAAAAGCCTGTATATGTTCAGTATAGATGCTACCATCCTTTTCATTCCTCGAATATTTTCAATCTGCAGTTGGTTAAATCCATGGATGCAGAATTCACAGATATCAAGAGCCAACTGCATTTGCAAAGGAAAGAAATTAAAATCACCAGTAACCTCACCATCCAGAAATAATCAGTAAATGTTTTGAGTCTATATATATATATACACATACACATATATGTTCACATGTACATAGGAATAGATATTTCTCCAAAGATATACACATGGCCAATAAGCATATTAGTAATACAATAAGCATATATAATCTTTAAAATATAGAAGTCTGTATGCTGTGCATTATGTGAATATACACATATAAAATTATATCATACTTTTACTTTTTTACATCATTTTCTTCACTTAGTAATTAAGTATCATATGCTTCTGTGACATTATATTTACTGTTAGCTCACTCTTTGCAATCTCAATTATAGCCTAGAGATAATATAATAAACTCCTGGGTCAACCTAGTAGAAGGCCAAGTCAGAAGGCTGATACAGTAAGAATGGTTTGAGGTAATAATGGGCTATTAGAAGACAACATAAAAAGGGACAAATCAAAGAAACACCTCAAAGGTGGAAAAAGACAATCAGAAATTTGATAACAGGTTGGGCATGGCGGCTGGCACCTATAATCTCAGCACTTTGGGAGGCTGAGGCAGGTGAATCACTTGAGCCCAGGAGTTCAAGATTATGCTGGGGAACATAGAGAAACCCTGTCTCTACAAAAACACTTAAAAATTAGCCAGGTGTGGCGGTGCATGCCTGTGGTCCCAGCTTCTAGGGTGCTGAGGTGGGAGGACTGCCTGAGCTGGGGAGGTAGAGGTTGCAATTAGATGATTGTACCACTGCACTCCAGCCTGGGTGGCAGAGTGAGACCAAAAAAAAAAAGAACTTGATAACAGATAAAGGGACCAAAGGGAAGAAAGAATCAAGAATAACACCAAGATGATTAGCCTGGGAGTACTGAACTTTCTTTAGTCTGGAATAATGACAGAGAATAGAAGCCAGATCTATGAAATTATGTATGGTCTGAATAGAGTGAACAGGAAACTACCTCACCAAATCCCAGGACCCTTCTAGAATGTGAGTCCTTGAAGACTGAAAGGTGTAATTTTAGTTCAGTTTTCACATTCTCAGTGGTAATACTAAGGAAAAAGCCAGGAGAACTGAAAGACTCAAAGGCTCTGAAAACCCTTAAAATAGAAAATTGAAAGTGAAATAGAAAAGAAACTGAATAGACAAAATTTCCATCCCTACATTCAAGATTCTGAGTCAAGATAGTCTCAAAAGATTTAAGTAAATTGGAATCTCTTCCTGGTCTTATAATTCAAGACTCCTCAGGGCAAAAAGATTGGTACCAACTTACTTCCTTGTAAAAATTATCACATATCTTTTTTGTTTTTTGTTTTTTTCATTTCATTTCAGGTTGATTACTTGAAATACAATAAAGCTCCCTGAAGGACATCACTGAATTTTTAGTGTTTAAGGTTGTATTTATTTATTTGAGACAGAGTCATGCTCTGTTGCCCAGGCTAGAGTACAGAGGCACAATCTCGGCTCACTGCAACCTCTGCCTCACCGGTTCAGTGATTCTCTTGCCTTAGCTTACTGAGTTAGGTGGGATTACAGGTACATGCCACCACACCCGGCTAATTTTTGTATTTTTAGTAGAGACAAGGTTTCACCATGTTGGCCAGGCTAGTCTTGAATTCTTGGCCTCAAGTGATCCACCCACCTCGGCCTCCCAAAGTGCTGGGATTACAGGTGTGAGCCACTGCGCCCGGCCTGTTTACAGTTTTAAAGTAAGAAACTAACAGAGATGTATTTAGACTGATGCCTGCAGGCTCACCATGGCCAGGCTGGCAAAGGCCACATACCTGGCTGCCAGATGGCTGGGGCTGAATCTGGGCTCCAACCCTTACCCTTAGAAGATTAACTTCTTATTTCTGAATCTCACTTTATTCATTTGTAAGTTGGGTATGATACTTAGCCTCACAGGAGTCACATGAAAAATAATGAGTTTATATATAAAGTACTCAGACCAGTGGTGGCCTAGAGCTGGCTCCTATGGACTCATGAAAATCAACTGTACACATCTCTTCCCAACTCCAGTCCAGTGGTAGCTTCACATCAGCCCTGGTGGGAGTGTTTACACTTCAGAAACCAGCAAACTCTACAAACGTGACTGCCCTTCCAAAGAGCTGGCTATTAACCATTCGCCAGCACACCATGACTTAAAACTGACAATATAAATATACGACTATCAATAAATCCAGAATGTGAGACATTCTTTGAGATAATGGCAAGGAATCTTCAAAAAATACCATGGTAAAAAAAAACAAAAAAAATGGCAGGCAATTCTAGGTTCAAATAGACTAAAGAAGCATAATTACCAAATGCAACATGTAAAAGTTGATGACGTCTTTCATTTTAAAATCTAAAGGGAGGGCAACATTGGAAAAATTCAAGAAATTCAAATACATTCACAAATTAATGTTAATTTTTTTAGATGTAATAATGGTGTTAAGATTACATAGTAGAATGTCCTTATTTTTAAAGATGCAGGTCTAAGTATTTAGGGGAAAGTGTTATGATGTCTAAAACTTACTTCCAAATGTTTCAGGAAAAAAATACATGAGAGATAAAAAGCAAATGTGGCAAATGCTAACATGTGATGAACCTAGGTGAAGGGTATATAGGTGGTCATCTTAACTTTCAGTAGCTTTTAAGAATATCTTTCGGGCTGGGTGCAGTGGCTCAAGCCTGTAATCCCAGCACTTTGGGAGGCCAAGGCAGGTGGATTACTTGAGGTCAGGAGTACAACATCAGCCTGGCCAACATGGCGAAACCACGTCTCTACTAAAAATACAAAAATTATCTGGGTGTAGCAGTGGGTGCCTGTAATCCCAGCTACTCAGGAGGCTGAGGCACGGAGAATTGCTTGAACCTGAGAGGTGGAGGATGCAGTGAGCTGAGATCGTGCCATGGCACTCCAGCCTAGGTGACAGAGCAAGACTCAGTCTCAAAAAAAAGAAAAAAAGAAAAAGAAAAAAAAAAGAAATAAAATCAGACAACACATGTACTCAACTATTTTATGGTGGGTCACAAGCTGTAATCTCTATTTTCTTTTTGATGGGAAGATTTTTCCAGTCTGTTTCTCATAGCAAAAAGTCAGATTATATTTTTCAGTGTAAACTCACTCTAGAAAATCAAGCCATTCAGCACTGCAGTCAAGGACTAGCTGCTCCCGGAGCTGATTCAGATGTCTGTAATTTTCTACAACAAAAGGAGAGTGAAACCGGCTCACAGCTTTTGTGCTAGAAGACAGGAAAAAACATAAATAGGAAATCAAGGTTAGTAAAAAATCTGAAATGCCATCACTTTAGAAAATAAAAATAGTTATTTATTATTCTCTGATGAACCTTGAAAATAAACAGCTGTAAATAGAAGAACATTCTTTAATTATGGTCCTGAACTCTACTGATTTCAAAGAACATGACTTTGCTCAGGAAGCCTTTTAAAATGCATTTCAAATTATACCCATATGGCAAAGTCAGAGTTTAGAACTTTTATTTCATAGGCAAAAAGTTTTTTTCTTTAAATTATACTAAGTGAAAATGCTCTTTAAAAAAGATCAGAAGCAAATATGGTAAAAGAAAGTATGATAAAGCTAGGAGGTAGATACATTGGTGAAAGTTATATTATTCTTTGTTTTATGGGCTTTTCTGTATGACTGAAGTATTTCAGAGAAAAAAGAAAAATAAAAAGCATTACAAAGAATAGCAATGCATTAATTCAGGAGGTAATTAAGAAAGAGATCTTCAGGATACTGTGATCTGTGCAGATTCACAGTGGCTCTGGATGGGAAGAAATACCACATGCTCCCCATCTGGGCTTAAGTATCATCTCTGCTCTCCGTTCAGTAGCTAGAGCACAACAGGGGATGCCATGGGTCCCCAGTCAGAGAAGCCAGGTCGAGGCTCTGGTCCTGCTACTTACTAACTATGTGATTTGGGGCAAATGAAACAGACCTTCTCTAAATATCACTTTCCTCATCTATGAAACGGGGATAATAATATCTACCTCATAGTTACTGTTGACAGGATCAGACAACACTCACGAGAGCGCCTATAAGTATTCAATAAAAATTAGTTGTTTTGTGGTGGTGGTGGTTGCCATTGCTGTTAATGCTGTCATTATGATAAGTCTTCAAGAAGAAAAGGTCAACGCATCTGGTCTTTGTTTGTTCCCCAACTCTGGTAACACACTGTTGCACTTTAATTTGCCAAGTTGCTGGATTAGGGGTGGGCCTTTTGCATTCAAAATCTGACTCTCGATGTTCTAACCCATCTCTGTCAAAACCCTATGGCCCAACAGATAAATTGCAATGAACCTTTCCCAAACTATCTTATCTGTTGATTCAATTTACATTACTAACATTTGAAAGATGGTGTCACTGATTTATGCCTTGCTTGTTGCTTTAAAATTGTATCATCTAGACTTCTATGCCAACATATTTATCAAAGCTTTATCTTCTGGAAAAACTCATTTAGTGAGATATTTCGGTTATTGTTGTAGACAGACTAACATGGTTTTTGGTAATTTCTCTTCATAATGCATATTTCATTCATTAGCTGTGATACAGGACAAAAGCAGATAAAGGAAAGAATGTCTGCAAAAAGAGAAAACAACATCCCCTAGAATCAATAATACTCAAATCTAAAGTACAGCTTCTGGTAGCATTTAAAAAAAAAGATGGTATTAGAACGAAAGAAATCCATGCCTGTGCCTTCAGCATCTGATGATGTGGCAATGGATAATAAACATTTTCTTTTTAAGTTAAAATAATAAATTACTGGGAGGCCAAGACAGGTGAATCACTTGAGTTCGAGACCAGCCCCTGGCCCACCCCTAGTGAAACCCCGTGTCTACTAAAATACAAAAAAAATTAGCCAGCAGTGGTGGCAGGTGCCTGTAATCCCAGCTACTTGGAAGGCTGAGGCAGGAGAATCACTTGAACCCGTGAGGCGGAGGTTGCAATAGGCTGAGATTGCGTCACTATACTTCAGCCTGGTTGACAAAAAGAGACTCTGTCTTAAAAAATATATATATATATTATATATGTATCACTATATATTTTTTGTATATATGTATATTATATGTGTAATAAATTAATCAGTCATACATTACGTCAAAATTTCCCTTCATCCTTAAAACAGAATGCCTGTACACTATTACCAGTTACTGGTCCCTCTTCTACCATCTTAGGCAAATGTACCATTTTCATCTCATGTTTGTGCAACTTATTGATAACAGTACTAATAAATATTCCACAAAGGATACTACTCACAGCTGTATATACTTCCCTAATACCTTGTCTTTAAATGAGTCCTCTCTTGGAGATTAATGTCTAACCAAGGAGAAAAGGCAGAGTCCCATTGTGGTTCTCTAAATTTGTTTTTGATTAATTTATTTTCATCAATTCATGATCCAGGTTATAAAAAAAAGATGTAAAGAATTACAATAATTATGTGCCAAGGAAGGCATTAAGAGTAAAGAATGTGGAGTTCGGTGAGGTAGAAAATGAAATTGCAACTTCTTGTAAGAAATGTCAGGCATAGCATTCACCATGAAGTAAAAGCAACTAAATTAATCTTACAATTGAAGGTTCCTCAACTTTTCTTCCATGTGTATCCTGTGCTATAAGAATAAAACAGTAATTTACAAAATAAGAAAACAAATGTGTAAAAATAAGATACCTTTTTGAAAAATGTTTTAAAATCAATGATAAAGAGTTAAAAATAGTGATCTCCTTGGTTAAAAGTTCCCTAAGAAAGGGCAGGGCACAGTGGCTCACGCCTGTAATCCCAGCACTTTGGGAGGCTGAGGTGGATGAATCACCTGAGGTCAGGAGTTTGAGACCAGTCTGGCCAACAGGGTGAAACCCTGTCTCTACTAAAAATACAAAAATTAGCCGGGGGTAGTAGTGCATGCCTGTGGTCCCAGCTACTCGGGAGGCTGAGGCACAAGAATCCCTTGAATCAGGGAGGTGGAGGTTGCAATGAGCTGAGATCATACCGCTACACTACAGCCTGGGCAACAGAGCAAGAAAAAATAAAAATAAAAAGAACTGCTTTTAATTTCAAGAACGTGGCTACTATGAGCCCAGTAGCACACAGATATACAGATGTCATTATAATTCATTATAAGAAAAAAATGTATTTTAAACCTACCTTCCAACCTTTACCCAATCAGTTGGTATACAAGATACAGCAGAGTTCTTTATTTCGATCATAAACTAAAACAAATACAAATAAACAGATATTTAGATGAGTAACCATTATATATTTTAAAGCTTTCCCCAAATTGTGGTATAACAATTTATTATATATTGTTAAACACTCAAAATAAGTCCAGAATTGTTTTTCATACTGTATATATGTCAATACAGACAAATACTATTAATTAAGGGTTCAATACTTGAGACAAAGTACAATTTGTGTTGTGTAAAACATTTGTAATACTTGGGCTTTCATGTTTCTAATATTGTTATACATATACTCTGAATGATGGTTTTTTCATTAACCATCTCTTTCATTTATTAATACTCACTTAAGAATTCTATTACTCATAAAAGATTGAATTTCTAAGCATATAAGATTTTAAAATATTCAATTAGTAGATGTTACACCGGTCTGAGATATGATCCTCCCCTATTCTGAACAGAGAAGATTTTTAGATAGTTTTTACCCAAGGAACTGAAATCCTCTAGAAGTATCTTCACAGGAAAGCACTGACTTCCCTAACTATAAAGAGAAGAAAATATTTCTTTCCGTATGAGAGTTTTCTTTAAGTTTTCACTGATATGAACCATAATATCTTTTTCTTATTTTGGTGGGTACAGGGTAGTTGTATATATTCATTGGTTACATGAGATAGTTTGATACAGGCATGCAAAGCATAATAATCACATCAGGGTAAATGGGGTATCCATCACCTCAAGCATTTATCTTTTGTGCTACAAATAATCCAATTATACTCTTTTGGTTATTTTAAAATGTACAATTAAATTATTGATTATAATTACCGTGTTGTTAACCAATACTAGGTTTTATTCATTTTTCCTGTTTCTTTTTTATCCATTAACCATCCCCTCATCCTCCCCACCCTCATTACCACTACCAGTTTCTGGTAACCATCATTCTATTCTGTATCTCCATGAGTTCAATTGTTTTAAGTTTTAATGTTTAGCTCCCACAAGTTAAGTGAGAACATGCCATGTTTGTCCTTTTGCACCGGCATATTTCCCTTAACCCAATGACCTCCATAATCCACCCATGTTGTTGCAAATGACAGGATCTCATTCTTTTTTATGGCTCAATAGTACTCCATTGTGAATACATACTACAGTTTCTTTACCCATTCGTCTGTTGATGGACACTTAGTTTGTTTCCAAATCTTACCTATCGTGAATAGTGCTGCAATAAACACAGCAGTGCAGATATCTCTTTAATATATTAATTTCCTTTCTGTTGGGTATATATCTAGCAGTGGGATTGCTGGATCATATGGTAGCTCTATTTTTTTTTTTTTTTTTTTGAGGGACCTCCAAACTGTTCTCCATAGTGATGGTGGTACTATAATTTACATTCCCACCAACAGTGTACGAGAGTTCCCTTTTCTCCACATCCTCATCAACATTTGCTATTGCCTGTCTTTTGGATAAAAGTCATTTTGAGTGGGGTGAGATAATATCTCATTATCATTTTAATTTACATCCATAATATCTTTAGAGATCCAACTGTGCTCTGCAAATAAGGTTCTCATCAGCCAGGAAGCAAGTAAAGTTCTATCAAACCATTCATTTTTAGCCTTAGTTATATATTACCTCTTCTCAGTGTACTTGCATTCCTGTATTATTACAATCAAATTCAGGCTGGACGCAATGGCTCACACCTGTAATCCCAGTACTTTGGGAGGCTGAGGTGGAGGGATTACCTGAAGTCAGGAGTTCAAGACCAGTCTGGCCAATGTGGTGAAACCCCATCTCTACTAATAATACAAAAATTAGCCAGGCCTGGTGGCAGGCACCTGTAATCTCAGCTACTCAGGAAGCTGAGGCAGGAGAATCACTTGAGCCCAGGAGGTGGAGGTTGCAGTGAGCCAAGATCGCGCCACTGCGCTCCAGCCTGGGCGACAGAGCAAGCCTCTGTCTCAATAAAAAACAAAAACAAAAACAAAATTCAATGATTCATTTAAATAAATTTCTAAAAACCCATTTTGAGTGGAATGGAACCCTAGAAGCTGTGTGGTTGTAATTTTGAGAGAGCTATGAGAACTTTTTCATATTTATCAGTTTTATTATATGCACATAACTTCAGGTATTTATAATGTTCATATTAATAACAGTATCAACATGGTTCTTGAGTTTATTTTTCCCATTAATAGAAATACTGTAGTTTTTACATTAATTATATTAAGAATTAGTGGCTAATTTCCCTTAGAAAAATGTTTTGAACTAGTGATGCCCTCATGTACAGAGAATTAATACAGTTTCAAATCTGCTACATCCATTTAAATAGTTAAGAGTCAAGAGTCTAAAAAGGCTCATTTGGCTACAAAAAGTAACTTTTGAAAAACCACAAAAAAATATCATTAATGGGAAAGATAAAACCACTTTTAAACTGTGCTAAATAATTCTGCTATTTTAAAGTGTTCTACCAAAAGAGATGTTGGCCTTTTTATAAAATAATTCTGGAAAGAGCTCTGCTAAAGGCAAACAGCAAAATTCAGGAACAGACTGATTGGATCACTGATATTTGGGAAGGACATATCCAGATGCATAATGACTAACAGAGCTCCACAGGAGTTACTACCTAAGTGATGACGGACATTTTGAACAAGGAGCACCTTGGGAACAGTTTGGACCACAACTATTCAATCTGTAAGTATCAAAAGTGCTACTCTAGGACCACAATCGCTACAGCGGGCCACCATATACAGAGCCAATACAGTGCCAATACAGTCGGGAAAACAGCGGGAGTCAGGAAGGCACAAGTTAAACCCCTCTGGTCACGTCCTCAGACAGGGGCTGGTCCTTGGACTGATCCTGAATGTCCCTTTTCCTCACTCAGCAGTCCTCGGAATTTCAGCCTGGGTTCCTCCTCAGAGTGGTCATCTGCTAGCTTTTCTTCTCTTCTACAGCGATGATGAGATACAAAATTTTTTCTCTAGCTATTCTTTTTTTTTAACATTCTAAGAATGAACAGGTAGGCCTTTGGTTTAAGAATTTTGTTACTAAAGAAAAGAAAACTAACATAGAAAAATAGCATACATTCCAGTAATCTTAGAAAGCTCTCACAGCAACTTTTCCTGCTTTACAGTTCCTGACTTTGTTTCTTAGGTGTTGATATGAGTAGTCTGCCTTGATTCATTATAGCAATCTCTCATATTCTTCTCCTGGGACCCAATTCTGTCTTAGTTAAATGTCAGATATTGTTACTCAATCTATATAGCCTGTGGTATCACCGGGCTGGCAACATCACTAGGTTTGCCAAAATTCTTACTCACTCCAGAAACTGCTGTTTTCTCCAGCACCACACTTAACCCATTTCTCCACTCCCCACTTTTCATTCTCTTAATAATTTAAGCATTTTTTACTATATTTTAAACCTAAGTAAAAAGTACTCAGATTTAACAGATTATTTTCCACATTTTAAACATAGTAAACAGATATTTGGATATGCTGCGTGCTGTCAATGAATAAAACTCTTTCTAAAGATTTTTTTCCAATATTTTTCTTTTTCCCTTAGTAATAATAATACTTATCAGTACTGCCCCCAATGTAAATATTGCCCCTTTTCCATTCCGTATTTGATTCAAGGTTAAGAGATAATTGGTCTATATTCATAAAATATGATAGAGACTGTAACAGAAGCAGTAAACTATGTAAACTTCTGCTTTCATTACATACATACTTTCATAGATACATACATACATTACATAATACATAATAATGTATGTATATTATTACATAAAAATATAAAGTTTCTACTTTCATTAATTTCTTCTAAGCCAATACTTACATAGTCAGAGACAATAAGGCATCATACAATAAGGTTTTAGTATTCTAATGAGTATATAAAAGCTGGGAAGAGAGGTGAAAAATGAATGTTGTCAAAATAACACTGGATTAACAGACCGGCACATTTATCTAATTTTGGTAAAAATAACAAGATCCACATACCATCACATGGATCACATGTGGCTGCTATAATGGGTCTTTTAAGGTTATTACAAAAGCTGTATGTATAGAAATAAAATGTCAGAACAGAAATGTATAAAGAACCACCAATAAATGTAAAATAAGGGTTTTCCACCGTGCCTCCCTCACTTCTCAGAGATAATCATATTTGATGGAGTCTCTTCCTAGTCTTTTAAGTACCTTTAAATAATTTGAGAATACCGTTAGTCTTTTTTTTTTTTTTTTTTTTTTTGACAGGGTTTCACTCTGTTGCCCAGGGTGGAGTATAGTGGCATGATCACGGGTCACAGTAACTTCAGCCTGTCAGGCTCAAGCGATTCTCTACCTTAGTCTCCCGAGTAGCAGCGACTATACACATATTCCACTATGCCTGGCTAATTTCATTTTTATATTTAGAGATGGTGTCTCACTATGTTGCCCAAGCAGGTCTCGAACTCCAGAGCTCAAGCAATCCTTCTGCCTTGGCCTCCCAAAGTGTTGAGATTACAGGTGTGAGCCACTATAGTCTTTTTTAAAACAGAATTTGATGAAAACAAGTTTGAATATTTAGAATTCCTTTGGTGTTCCAATGAATGGAATCATTAATTTTCAAAAGGTCTTATGAAAGTAATTTTGTGTTAACGTTCTACTAAAATCCTAGAGAAGATTATTAAAAACCAACAATAATCCATCTTACTATTAATAACGAAGAAACTTTGTTCCTCAAATTCATCAACTTAACCTAGTAAAGATAAAAGATAACTGATCTTCCTTTCTATATTTTTTAATACAATTAGTTGATCTCCATGCTGTACTTTTTCTTAAACCTCAATGCCACACTCACAATGAATAACCAGTCTACTATCTCTTATGAATTCCTGATAATTTTCTTTCATTTTTACTCAAAAACTACCAAATGAATCCAGGACTGTCTTTCCAAGACTTAAATTTTATTTTGAATACTATGAGCTCTAAAATGTCCAGATTTTGTCAGATAAAATCCATGGTGTTGAGAATCCTTTGTGTTAATATTTGGAATTAATAAATGGAATGAAATGCTGGTATTAACATAATAGAAAGACAAGAATCTGGCAGAACTGGGCTGGATTTGTGCTTCTGACCTTGGGTAACTTATCTAACTACTCCAAACCTGTTTTCTTTCCAACAAAACTAGAATGACTGACCCTTTTTGGCATTGTTACAAGAATTAAATAATATATGTAGGCACCTACCACTGTTCTAGACTTTAACAAGTACTTGATAAATGGTAACTCTATTACTATTATTGTTATTATATGAGTAGTATAAGCATAGCACTTGATGATTAAAAAGCACTTTCATGTATTTTAACTTAATTGGTCTCCATAATAGTCTTATAACAGAGGTAACTCTTCCATGGTCATATAGCATGTAAATGGTAGAACTGGCACTTACACTTAGCTTTCTCCACTGTAATACCAGGCAGCCACTTTTCTACTACATATCTTTTATTAAGGTAACTAAAGCAAAGTTCATCATTTGATTTTAAACCAATAGCCAGAATGGTGGCCTTTAGGCCAATTTTCACTTTGCAAGGTCATGACTGCATAGTAAAAACAAGAACTACAATTAAATATTTCGTACTTGTCTGTTCAGACAATAAACTTAAGTATAAATATTGTCAAATCATTTTTCTATTATATAGAGCTCCATGTGGCATTGTGAATGTCTGCTGAGTATAATATCTTAATAATTGTAGTTCAGAAGACAGGTTGACTTAATGGGTAAATCTATGAAATAACACAAGACAAACATTTTAATGAATATTCTCTATTAATGTAGAGCTTCTTATTTCAAATAACTATACAATCAACAATCTTTTGGCAAAACACACAAAGCAATGTAAATGTTAAAAATTTTGATTTGAAATTAAGTTCTTCCCCACCAGAAAAATATCTATTTTTTAAAATCCTGAATAAAATGCTCACTCTATAGAAGTTATCCATAAGTTTCCTAATTTGGTATTTTAATAAAACAGAATTTCTCAAACTCCCTCTGTTTGAATCTTCATATTTTATTAAACATAAGATATAGGAGTAGCATGCCTCAAGACTCAGAATAAGACTGAAAAGTACAACCATATTTAAAAGGCATACTTCTTCCTTTTCTGGTTCTCATTCAGACACTACTATCAAACTTTAAACAGAAGTACACACCCCAAGAAACACATTCTAAACAGTACCATAATTTTATGGAAGACTCACTAAGTGTAGTTTTTCACTCTAGATTTGTTTTTTTAGCAGCTATACTCTTAACTTTAGGAGGAAGCCCCGCCATTTAATCACTATATGAGCCAATCAACACAGGTGGCCAACTTTGTATTATTTCATCATCTGTAAGGCAGGGATCAAAGACTAACTTCTCTTTCCTGGATTTAGAACAAATGAATTCTATAAGTTGCTATTCATAATAATCGAGATTTTCTATAATATAATTTTAACAGATAATGCTAATACACATATAACATTAAGTTGCACTACTTTCACAAGAGACTAATAAAACACCATCATTAAAATAATTCTTATCAAAACAAGTTATTACAACATATTTCCAAGGAATAAAACAGAAAATTTGAAGAGATAATACATATCCTATCCTCAGATTTTTATTTACATTTTAAAATAGCTTTTCTACTAGAGGAAAACTAATAGAAAATAAAAGTAGGTTTGACATTACCTCCTGTCCTGATACTGTCACATATTGTGCAGAAGGATTTTTTAGTATTTTTCGTATTTCTTGCAAATGCATTCGGATCTTGTCACTAACACCTTGAATTTCATCCTTCCTCTTTTTTATTAAAGGGAAGTCAGAAAGGTCTTTAAATAATTCAGTTTTATCCCCAACTCTAAAAAATCAAAAAATGCAAATACATATTCGAAGTTTATTGATTAGAGCAGTTATCGTTTATTTTTCATAGTGTGATGAAAGAGGAAAGCACTGGAAGTCAGGGAAATGAGGTTCCAATTGTCACTAAGCACTTATGGGCTTGTTTTTTAACTTCTCTGAGGATGGTCAAAATTACCCTAATATCATTTTCACTTTTTAAGTTCATGATTCCCATGGTAAAACCAAGAGATACATTATTTGTTGTTTGCCTATGCAGAAAACAAAGACAAATGTAAATGTCAAATCCTATTTCATTTATATAGAACGTTTTGTGCAATATGTTATAAAAGAACTACCTTTTAAAGGATAACTTTGCTTTTACAGATTCTAAATATAAGGACATCTCTGGAAATATAGGAAATGAGTACAAGATATCTGACATTCATTTTGGGGTTAATAATCTACTACTGCTTGGCTTTGCCTGTGTTTTACCTTTCCATCATCTGACACCTGGGGGAGTACTATATCTGTCCTAGATGGTAAACTGCCTAAATTTTAGATAGCAAGTATTCCAACTGTAGTGTAACACTTTTAAGGTCCAATCACATTTCTAATTATATATGTACTCATTCAACTTCTAGTAAACATTAAGAATCCACAAATCAAATGGCAAATGCACTGGAGTATACTGACTGCTGAAAAAGAAGAATTTAGGGTCTGGTACTTACTTGGCAGCTTGTTCATTGAGTATCTTTAAGTAATGCTCCACTGGACTGAGGAGTTCAGGAATTTCTAAAATAACGGTGCGGAGCAAGTCTGACTGAACGTGGGAATTAACAGCAGGTATTATTGCTTGAAATTCTGACTTTAGGTGATATAAGGTTTTGACAATCAAGAAGAACTCTTGGGTAGAACACTGAAAATAGAAATTTTTTTACAAAATAGCATAAGATACATGAAAATGAAGTTTAACTAGTGATCTTTTAAAGTTAGAATCAGATTGAGGAAATTTTAAATTTTCTATTAACTAATTAGTTGAAATAAAATATCACTGATATTTTCTAAATGAGGTTAAATACTATGTAATATTTTAAAAGCATAAAGAAAATAATTTTAGCCAAGGAAAACAAAGCCAATACTTGTTTAGTATTTTTTCATTTTAAAATAGCATAAACCAAATAGCAAAAATAGGTTAAACAAGCTAAAAAATGTGAAGGATAATTATCTGTAAGACATAACAAACACAAGGCAAAATTCTCCCAAACATAATAGGCTCTTACAAATTGACATGAAAAAGATGAATAATCCAAAGAATAATGGCTAAACAAACTGAATATGCAGCTCATAGAAACAGTCAGTATGTACATGATTATCTTCATATACAACTAAAGACAAGCAAATTAGAAATACAGGATAGCATTTTTCACTTATCAGAATGTCAAATATTTAAAAGCTCCACAATAACCATGTAACAGGATTTAAAAAAAAGAAAAAGACACTTTTATATACTATTAGCAGAGGACTAACCTTTTTGAAAAACAACTTGGCATGTCTTCATAATAATAAAGTGCATATAACCCTTTGAATAAACATCACTTTAAATAATTTATCTAAAATAGACTAACAAATAGTGAAAAACATGTCTGAATATTCACAGTAGCACTGCTTATAATTTAAAAAGATAAATAAGAAATAAATATCCATCAATTGGGATCTTATTAGGAAAAACTCATGCAATGTAATACTATGAAACAGCTAAAAAAATTTAAGATGTTTGTATCAGTATAGAACTCCATAATTTCAACATACATTGAATATATATAGTATGTTTATATCATATACCACATAGCCCATATATGTATATATTTTTATGTATTTACATGGTAATACTTTCTTTGTGATTCTTTAAATGATATACATTTTTCTATATAAATAGAAAAATCTAAATATCAATAAAAATTTTAGGAGGTAACACATGTGACTTACTCTGGTTACCCTCTGGGTAGTAGGTATGGAGGGGTGGCAGAGGGAGACTTTTTCCCCTTTATTGTATACCCTTGCATACTACTGTAGTTTTTTTTTAACATGAACATTGAATAATTTTTACATCGTAGCTTCTGGTAAACAGAGTAGGTTAAACACATGTGCATCTAATTTCCATCTTCAAACAACAGTTAAGAGATTGTTTAAAAAGGCATAAAACCAGCCAGGCACAGTGGCTCACGCCTGTAATCCCAGCACTTTGGGAGGCTAAAGTGGGTGGATTACAAGGTCAGAAGCTCGAGACCAGACCAACCAACATGGTGAAACCCCATCTCTACTAAAAATACAAAAATTAGCCGGGTGTGGTGGTGCTCGCCTGTGATCCCAGTGACTCAGCTGGCTGAGGTAGAAGAATCGCTTGAACCCAGGAAGCGGAGGTTGCAGTGAGCCGAGATTGCACCACTGCACTCCTGCCTGGGCAACACAGCAAGACTCTGTCTCAAAAAAAAAAAAGGAAAAAACCACACCAGAAAAGAGGACAACAGCAACAATATGTTAGAAGCTATAAAGTAAACGGATAAATAGCGATTGACTTAAAAGACTCAAGGTACTTGAATTTTAAACTGTCCTTAAGGAAAACTGAGACACAATTTACATCAAGAATCCAAAAAGACTTGTGTACCAATTTGGATTCTGCCCTGTGAGGGAACTTCTAAAAATATTAATAATATCTTCCATGAAATAGAAGATACTACAACCACGAAACAAGATGCTACTTTTAAAAAGAAAAAACGTTTGGAGAACAAGAAAACAAAAATTCTTGGAAATTAAAGTATAATAGTAGAAATGAAAAATTTAACAGAAGTGGTAGTAAAGATAGTAAAGTCATCTAAAACCTAGAATTTTATACCCATTCAAACTACCAATCAAATGTGAAGGTAGTAACAACGACAATTTAAAAAAAAAAAAAAAAACACACTTTCAGACATGAATGTTTCAAAAGATTTACTTCCAACATTCTTTCTCAGGAAGATTCTAGAGGATGTACTCCACCAAAATGAAGAAATAAACCAAGAGGAAGACATGGAATATAGAAAATAAAAGATTCAACTCAAGGGAAGTAAAGGGAATTTAAGATAGTACTATACAACAGATACGAGGACAACCAGTCCATACTGGATCAAGTCAGAAGGCTCCAGAAGACAGCTCAGGAAAATAAAACTGACAGAATGTTGACTGAAAAGAACTGTCTTGAGAAAACAATTTAAGGCTAAGGTAATAAGGCACATAATAAGTAGTATATATGAAATAGATTAAGGCTAAGAACACATTAAAAAACGTAATTAACCACAAAGGGTGAAGTAAATTATGCAAAAAAAGTAAGAAGTTAGGTCCAATTGAGCAAATGTTGAATTCTAAGTGTATCATGAGGCAACTTTTCTCCAGAAAGACCCCCTCCCCACCCCATACAGGAAGCTGGACTGTTTACATAAATGTGAAACGTAGAAGCTTTTTGGCCACTAGTCAATTAATGATACCTTTTAACAAAAGTAAAGAACTAAACATGAACATTTTCAATATAATTTTGAATATTAACCTCTTGTAATTATTGTAATCCCAAGAAAAGGATTAATTTTCCAAGCTGAGACACAATGTAAAGTTAAGTCAGCAACAGAAGCAAGGTGAAAACCAGTAGCGTTTTACAATCACCTTGAAAGCCAGAGGCAGCAGGTTGTTCTCAAGTTTCTTAAGCAAAAGAACTCAAAAGAAGCTGCAAGAAAGTTGAGGATGGGTAAGTGGCTGCTCCTGGAGTCACTCTCCAGGAATTCAGCCCTACTTCTGGCAGCAGCTGTCTCACTGGGAGAGCTTGAGCACAGACCCACAAGTACGGAGGCAGGGCCTCACTGGACACAGGATGGAAAGGACCCCAGCTTAAGCGCAACACTGAAAACAGGCCTTTGGGCTTATTCCTGCCTGGCTAAAAAACGATTCTCACCTAGAAAATTCTGAAAACACTCTCCTCAACATTTGCTAAGTGCGATTATCCTTTAAATGTATTCACCAACCTCAGCAGTTACTTAACACTTTCTTACAAAACAGTTCTTGAGCAAAGTTAGTATGGGTTCCTGTGACTAGCACTATTTACAAGATTTGAATTTAATGTTTTGTCATCAAAAGAAATGTTTATTTTAGGCTAGGAGCAGTGGCTCACGCCTGTAATCCCAGCCCACTGGGAGGCTGAGGTGGGAGGATCCTTGAATCCAGGAGTTGGAGACCAGCCTGGGTAACACGACAAGATCTTGTCTCTACAAAAAATACAAAAAAAAAAAAAAAAATTAGCTGGGCATGGCAGCACATGCCTGTTGTCCCAGCTACTCAGAAGACTGGAGGCTGAAGCTGTAGTGAGCTGTGGTCATGCCACTGCATTCCAGCCTGGGTTACACAGTGAGATCTTGTTTCAAAAGAAGAAGAAGAAGAAGAAGAAGGAATGTTTATTTTATGCCAGAATTAGCTCACTTGAGATCCTCTATCATTATCGACATAAAAACACCTATTGGTACGTATTCCAGGACACTTCCCACAAAACCGTATAGCCTGTGTTGACCACTTTCCACAATATCCAGTGTTCCTTCTCGTTTTATGAATTTCACATAATTGGCACAATCTGTACCCAGGACATCACTCACTATGTGGTGTACATAGAAGCTTATGTAGAATAATCTAATAATAAAGAATAGACATATGTTTGATGGTGTGTTCGTAGAGCCAGCCAACTAATCTATAAAACATTAGTTTAAAGCATTCAGCTTTCCTGAAGTTGGTTTGTTACCAGATCATTTCTACTTTTCACCCTTCAAACTAATCTTTAGGCACATTCTTGTGCAAACAAACACTAAAACAGCAACAAGGAATGGCTTCCAAGTGAGTTATAAGTTCCTTTAGTAAAATATATTTTTAAATTCTAAAAAAAGTCATTCTTGCACTGCATAGTGGCCACTTTTTAAATGAATTAGATTCTGACTTTACTAGAGTTTTGAAACTTTTATAAATACACAAACCCTGTGCAATATAAACATCAAAGTAAAGTTTACAAAAAGGCAGGAAGGTGGAAAAGAAATCACAGCCCCATGAACTGATGCTACCATCTTGATGCCACTGACACTTTGACTTAGTGCATTTGAGTAGTCACTGAAAGATTTTCAGCTTTGCTTCTGTTTTCTCTTAAGAAAAACAAAAATCTCTGACATCTGTCAGTGAATCCTTTCAAGTAGTTAAGGCAAGGTGCCCGGAGAGCCGTTGTTTAAAGAAGGTTAATATGCACCAATTTTCAGACTCTGAGCCAAGGATACAAAACAACAAATGGTTTGGCAACCACTATGCAACTTCAAAAAGATCTACCATAAAACTTGCAACTATCAGCACAGCTTCTGCTATTGCCAGCAAAACAACAACATGGTGTACCCAATAATGATACAATAGGCTCCCTTGACCCCATAACCAACTCCTACATTCTTTCACCCCAGGATCAGTATTTCCAATTCTGGCTTGTACATTGTTTTCAAATTTAGTTGAAGCATGTAAAACAGTTACATAAGTCCTCTTGGGCACCTCAAGTATTCTTAGAAGCAGTACTTATTCTAGTAAAATTCTGTGGGGGTAAAAGGGGCTGAAAAATATAGAAACTCTAATGAAAACTTGGTCAAAACTAAAATTTAGGCATATAGGCTGGGTGCGGTGGCTCATGCCTGTAATCCCAGCACTTTGGGAGGCCAAGGCGGGTGGATCACCTGAGGTCAGGAGTTCGAGACCAGCCTGGCCAATGTGGTGAAACCCCGTCTCTGCTAAAAATACAAAAGCCAGCAGGGCATAGTGGCGGGTGCCTGTAATCCCAGCTACTCAGGAGGCTGAGACAGAAGAATCGCCTAAACCTGGGAGGTGGAGGTTGCAGTGAGCCGAGATCACCCCATTGCACTCCAGCCTGGGTGACGAGAATAAAACTCTGTCTCAAAAATAAAGTAAAAATTTAGGCATATAAAAACTGTTTTACAGTAAAATTATTATATTGGCAAGGAGTTACGTTTGGAGGAAAAATAAAATTTGCTTATGAAAAGTGGCAAACAGAAAAAAAAAAAAAAAAAATGGCAGTCAAGATAACTACATCAAACATGATAGTGTCCAAAAGACACAGCCAATGAAAACACAATCAAGAATCCTGGGTCTAAATACAGATTCTGTTACTAGCAAGTTATTAAACCTCTCAGCATCATCATATGAGCCAAAGTAATTCAAGTGGTTGCAGCAATTTATATATATACACACATACACACACATATATACACACACACACCACACATAGCATTAGATACAATTTCTTATTAGTAAGAACGTAATAAAAATAGTAACTTCTCAATGTCATAAAGTTTTGACAAGGAACAAAGAGTATAAAGTGTGTGAAAGACTTCTGCAAAAAGTAAAACCCCATAAAGAGTTTATCGTGTTTTTTACCATTTAAAAGTATTAATAATTTTTTAAAATTTTAGGCATATTTTGAAGATAACCTAAATTATTTCCCTAAAAGTGGAAAATGACTCATTTTTGCTATGACTCAAACTATAAAGCTTAAGTGATAAAAATCAAAATAATCCTTTACTCACCTTCAATATCCAAGCTTGTTTTCATACTAATTACCACCACAGATGTTATACTAGCAGATTTTTCCTTAGTTTAAGAAATAATAAGTTGTTCTAAGATCAAAAGAAATAAGGTATCTTTTTTCTAAAATAACTAGTCTACATAAATTTCCTATTTTGATAATAGTCTATACTTTCAGGATGAAACAGGAGAATATCCTGTATTATAAGAGAAGGGCCTCTATGTGGCTGTAGTTAATGTACATGAGAAAACTATTTTTTACAATGGTTAAATTGGAATAATTCTAATTTGTGCTATTAAAATTTCTGAGGATTCAGCTACTCTCGCATGCTATATTTGTAAGATTTTACAAAATAAAATAATAATAGAGCTCTCAGAAGTTTTCTTTTAAGTTTTCTTTTAATAAAACTTTTCTTTAAAAGTTTTCTGTTAATTTGTGAGCTGAAGAACACTGTCAGCTTTATTAGATTTCTGTCACACTTACTTTTTTGTGATAAATGCTACAGAGTCCTCTCTCTATGTCGGGCAATTTACGTAGATGATTTTCTATCTGACCAAACACACTAGATTCTGAATGGAGAACTTCAGATACAGCATCAAGCCGGGCATTTATTTCCCTGTGAGAAAAGAGTAATAGCAATGATCAGATATGTTAGGAGTTCAGAATGTAGACATTTCCCACTCTAATGTCCAGGACTGTGACACAGCCACTTATTAGGCACAAAGGAAATTCCTCCTTCATATTGAGACAGTCAGGTGGGAAGGGCACCCTGAAAAAACTCCAATGGGCATATGCACTGGGAGGAGGGTACACTGGGGTGGAGACACAGAAGTTCATGCTTTTGGCAGCAGGGAGGAGCCTGGCCCCTCCTCCTCCTGGGTGGAACCTGGGATTACAGTCTGTGAGGCGGGAAGCATACTAGCAAGATTCTTGTTCTGACTTGGTGGAGAGTCCCTGTTTCCCTTTTTATTCCTCTTTGCCCAATAAATTCCATTTTTCTCCTCCTTCGAATTGTCTGTAAGCCTAATTTTACATGGCTATGTGATGAGGACCACCCTCCCCCAACCCCACTGTCTTTAGCTGAACTAAGGAAAAAGTCCTACAACAATAGATCTGGTCCTTCCATGCCTCTTATTATAACTGAATCAAACAGCAGGTATTGTACAAGGACATTCACTAGCTCGGTTTGACAAAGACAGGCTTACCAAGAAAACACACAGACTACATTTCCCAGTCTCCCCTGTATTTAAGTATGGCCATGTACCTGAGTTCTGAAGCATGGGTGGGAATGATGTAAGCCACCTCTAGCCCTGGCCCATAAAAACTTCCTGAATAAGCTTTCACATTCACCTAACTCCCTTTGCCAGCTAGGCAAGCTTGTGAGCCCCATGGTGACTTCATCAGCCTGAGTCCACAGTGGAGCAGAAAATCCACCATTCTCGTATCTGTTACCAACTGAACTTATATTAGCAAGAAATAAACTTCTAATGTATTTAAGTCACTTACATGGAGAACTTGTTTGCTGATAGCTTGCATTACCTCGGCTAATATAATAGTTCAACAACGACCAACAAGATGACTTAGTGGTGGTGGTGATGGCTGAACTGACCAACTGTTTGAATGAAATGGAATTAAACATACTGACCCTGACCAAAGACTAGGGAGTAGCAATAGAAAGTGCAGAGGATATGGGCCACAGGAGATCAGGATTGCAGGATTTTACCAATGGCTACACCTTAAGTGATGAGTCAACTTAAAACGGAAACCTGATGGACGAAATGTATCCTCAATGAGAAGTGGTCCATGAAGTACCTATAAACATCAAAGGTCCACACTAGGAATAATGGCCATATGTAGTATTAAAAACTAAGATAAGTAAACATGTCTGGTGAGTAGTAAGCCCTCAGTAAGGATTTGAAGTGTTTGTAAATGAATGAATGAATAAATAAGCAAGTGGATGAAAGATGTTTTGGGGGAAGGAGGCATTGGCCACTGAATAAACATGTCTGTCTCTCAAAATTCTGTTGACATCATACACACTAATATGAAGAGCAAATCTCAGATCAGGATCCTGGCTAGATTACAATCAAACTGAGGACTTTCCATTTAGTTGAGTGTTTTTGTCTTTATTATCCTTAACTACCTGTCAGATCATGCCTTTTCATAATACAGAGTTTCTATACTAACTTCAGGCCTCATGTTTGTTCATTTTTCTCTGGCTCATACTCTTATATGCAGAAAGACCATTTGTTAGTACAATAGTACGATGCAGGAAAGCAAGACAGAGCTTTGTACACACACGGGTTGGCTCTTCCAATCTCAGCAGGGTGGCCTCTGTAATCTATCCACCACCCTCCGCCTCTACTGCCACTACTATAGCCTAAGTAAAAATCATATTGAAACAGCCTCCTAACTTTCCCCCCCCATTTCTGTCCCTTTTTCCAACTCATTCTCCACACGGCAGCCCAAGTGGTTTTCCTAAAGCCCAAATCTATTCATGCCACACCTCCGCTTTAAACTCATCCGTGACTTGCCATTAATCTTAGGTTCAAATCCAGAATCTTTAATTGTCCTAAAAAACAACTGATAACTGTTTAGCTCTCAGGTCTCCCCTGAGATCACATGTCACTCTCTTCCTCCTACTCTAAGTTCCAGTCAGACTGCATATCTTTCAATGACTTGGTTACTCCAAGCTCTCTGCCATGGAGGCTTTCTCATTTGCTGCTTACTTTGCCTACAATGTTATTTTCCTCTTCCCTATCACCCATCAGCTACACTTCGTCTGGTGAACTCCTACCCACTCTTCCCCTGAAAGGCCTTTCTAGATTCACTAGACCAGACTTAATCCCTTTACTATCATTTCCTATACTACCATCTTTTCTCTTCTCATAATGGTAATCATAACTGTATTTCTTCTTCAATGGGAATTTACTACTTCACTGTCTTTCCTACAAGACTATAAATTCAGTGAACACAGGGGTCATTTCTTATCCTTACATTTCAAGATAATAATTTGTGCTCAATAAACAGTTATTTGATTCAATTTCATTTCGAAGACTACATATAAAGTAAATCAAGATGAGCTGGAAAAAATAAATTTTCTTTGCAAAGGATTGTTGTGATAAAATAAACCAATGTTTTACTCTAACATTTACCCAAAATGTTATACAAATATAAAATTTTACTTTAATAACTCACTCCTGCATAAATGAAAGATGACACCAATTGGAATAGACTAAGTTGATGCTACAGATGGTTTGAGGACTGATAAAATAATGCCATCTGTGAACGTATAAGACAGCCTACACAAATAGCTACTGTCTCAAAAATTAAAGGTTTTCTGAGATATAGAAAGATACGAGCAAAAGAGTTTAATAAAAACCTAAGTCATATTTATGAAGTCTACCAGAAGACTTTTTTAATAGATATAAAACTATAAATTTCTTAGAGACTTGAAAGGTTAGGCCAAGTTAGTTTGGAATCTGGGAAAACATAAAGGAAAAGGTTTTCATTCTAGCCAGTGCCAACATAGGCAAAAGCAGTATGTTCACTATCAATCAGTTTGGTTTTAACCCAACCTTCTTTAAGGGCTACCTCAGAGGTTAACAATTTGGGCTCAGAAGTCAGGTGGCCTTGATTCAAACTCAGGCTCTGCCATTTACCAATTATTTAACCTTGCCCTAGTTTCTCCATCTATAAAATGAGAAGAGCAATGGGCCCTAACTCTTGGTGTTAGTAAAAGAATTCAATGAAATAATACATGTCAGGTACTTAATGCAGTACCTGCTACATCATGAGAACCACTCATAAATGTTTACTGTTACCACATCATTACAAGTTTTGTTTAGTAGACACCACAAAGAACAGCACGGAAGAGGGATAAATAGCACCCAAAATATGAGCTCAGAAATAACCATGTGAGGACAAACCTTAGGGCATAGATATGTAAACAGGTATTTTGTGCAAAGTGAACAAGTGCGAACTATATAAGGAAAGCTAGTCCTGGCATCTTGAGGGCTAAACCTGACAAGCAGTGATGATCTGAAGTACTCGCTGTGCTGAGACTGGACAGTAGGTTGCATTGAGAAAGCACACTATAACGATTAATAATTATGGAGGTCTAAATGGGCAGGGAGAGAGTGAAAGGGTATGTGGCACTGTTCACCATGAATTTCTCATCACTGCGGTTAGCTATAATTCCATCTTTAACTCCTATATGAAGATCAGAATGGAAATAAGCAAGAATGACTACACTTTTTAAAATTAAACAATTCACATACCTTAGAATTGTTGTTTAATGTGCAGTAGTAACAAGATCTTCCAAATAATTGTAACAAAACAATATGTCAGGACACAATAGAGAATTATTATTTTAGTGCAATTAATGACAGAGATTGAGTGACAGCAACAGGAAACAAAACTGGAAGAAGCATCAATTGGATGATGATAAAGATATTATTCCAAGATGCCTGATAGTATTCTACAGTTGATCTTACTATACAACTTAAATAACTGAAAGAAGGCACCTGCATCATTTCATTCCACATACCAAACAAACAAAAAGACGAGGTCCTGGGGATGACAAAGATTCATCTTTACTACCAAAGATGCAAGGAGTAAAAGGGAGTGTCACTGGAGTCCTTCATATTTGAAGATAAACTAGGTGGTGACGTGAGTATCTACTGTGTTTGGCTGTCACTCAGAAACACAGAGTGTGACCTATAGCTATTGTCAGTGATGGTGTCAGTACCTACTGGTTGCTACTGTGAAAACGCCTCTATAATTCAAACTTAAGATAATTTTGTATAGTTAGATATGTTGAATAAGATCTAGTATTTGATAGTGCAACAGGGTGACTACAGCCAACAATTTATTGTACATTTAAAAATAACTAAAAGAGTATAATGGGAATATCAGTAACACAAAGAAATGGTAAATGCTTGAGGTGATGGATACCCCATTTACCCTGATGTGATTATTATACATTGTATGCCTGCATCACAATATCTCATATACCCTTAATATATATACCTACTGTGTACCCACAAACATAAAATGTTTTAAAAAAAGGTTATCTGGTGGGGGTAGGGAGCTGAAATACAGACTGCTGGGGGTGTATTTTTGTTTGGTTTCGTTTTACTGAAAAGTTTGGCTTTAAAGACGACACAGAATGAGTAAATTAAATTCAGGCATTAACACACTGGTCACGTGAAATGGTTAAACAAACTACCTAAATAATCTCCTGTCAGAAACATGAACCATAAGCCCTTTCCTAGGATCTAAGCATCATTAGACCTATCTAGCTTCACCTTTCACACATATTGTTCATTTTTACATTCAATGAACAACTACTGAGTGCTTACAAAGTACTGATTGTACAAATGGTAGACATTAGGGCTATAATTGTTAACGAGAGGCTTGCTAGTCTACAAAGAATTTACACTCTAGTGATGAATACTAAAACTTTAAAAAAGCATTAATGATAACAATGTAATAAGATTATAACTGGGTTAGGATCTAGATACAATGGGAACACAGGCCAGGAGTATCTAATGAACAAATGCAGTTTTAGGATCAGGGAGGATTTCCTGCGGGTAGCTATTGAGTAAAAGATTA